CATGTAAAAATTGACCAAAATTGGACTTACCTTTATAATGGTTCTTTTGACGTAATTGTTATATATTTAGCAACTATATAACAATTATTTTTTTTAAAAAAACTGTTATATAGTTGACTGAAAGGTTTATTGAAACCAAAACTAAAACAATCTATATATAACAATTTTTTATAAATAACTGTCATATATAAATTTTAACTATTTATAACAATTAAAAGCTGTTTTTTAATTGCCGTCAGACTATATAATGTCAGAATATATAGTGATTAAAAATTGATATATGTTAACAAAAATGATTTCTATATAGAGTTTTTTTTCTAGTGGTGATGAAGGTGATTGATAGCCATTATTGAAAGATAAAATAAAATCATTACATAAGTTGTTCATAGTAGATGCAAGGTCAACTTAAATTTTTAGTTAACATGCACATATGCATACACATGCACGCGCACAGTATTTAAAATCACGCCATTATTCCTGACCAAAAAAATAAAAATAAAGCATACTATTATTTTTTTATACAAAAGGAAGGAAGGAAGCATATGATTATTTATAAATTATAAATAACAAACTCTATATCAAGCATGGCACGAGTCTAAGATCCACTTTATTATTATATGCAAAAGACAAGTATGAATTATTTTAATTATTGAATAAAACTATTTTTATTAAAACTAACCCAAACGATGATCCCCTCCCTCCAATTATGAATATGAAAGGATTTAATGTTAAAAATATTTGAAGTTACATTATATTTGAATTGGATAATTTCATGTTTTAAAAATGGATCATATGCATGATAGAATCATGTTGTTATTACATCATAGGGCTTTGGATGGTACTAAATAAATTATTCTGTGCAACGTGACAAACAGCCCTGCCTTTAATTAATTATATATGGTTTATAGAGAGAATTTTAATTAAGGATCATTGTAGAGAATTAATTTTATGTGGGTTCAAATTTTTTTTGAAATTTCAGTTCAATCTAAAGGAGAAAAGTGAAAAAAATTTTGACAATAAAAAAATCAAAATACCTTTTACTTATTATGTAAAATTATTAATTATTAATTTTTGTACTCTGCTTATTAATAATTGACTTGTGAGCTTGCAAATGACTGACTTGAAGAAGAATTATGTATGTGGATCATCTTAAATTTGTTGAGGAGGGAGTAAATGTCAATTGTAATTATTGAAGATAAAGCTTCAGCTAGGGCTTCCTTGAAAAATAATTTTGACCAGAAAACTATATTAAAATCCTAGAATCGTGAATCTTCCTTTGCCAGACTTATGGCCATGTTCAGAGCAAGGTCGAACGGTTACTCCATACAATTGCATTTAACGACATTCATTGAATGGAGGTAATTTAATAAAAATGGTATTTTGAGTAAATAAATAATCAATGATTTATGTGTATTCTCCGAGTTAAGAAAAAATATTTTATTTGTACTCAAAATTCCGAAACAATTAATTTTTTAATAATATTTTCTCAATTTTATTTTTTAAAAAATTTACTAATATTATTATAATATTATTTTTGGAGGCATTAAATGAGAGATATATTTGATAGGTCATACTTGTATATTTATTGTATTTCTTAATTCATGTACAATAATCTTAAAAATAATAAAAGAGAATGAATATTCCAAGGACCTGACAAATAGTATAAAAAGGTCCTTTTAAGAAATGAATAGCAGGGTATTTAAAATGAAATTTAAATCTAAACTATTAAATAAAATTTCCAACAACTTACATTTATGACTTTTTTGGTCAACACGAAAAATCCTAAACCTATATATATATATATATATATATATTATGAGCAAGAGGGAGGGTCGATTATCAAGCTTGATATTGTGTTATATTGGTGAAGAGGGGGATGACTTGAACGCTGTCGGCAATTAATGATTTGATAAGTTAAAAATATGACAAAAAGATCGTATACATTCCCTTTAATTTTTATTATAAAATAATTTTAATTATTTTTATATTATAAAAAAATGATATGTAACGTCATTTTTAATCTTAACTTTAAATAGTAATACACTTGCATTAAATATTTTCACTCTAATCAATGAAAGGTAAACTTGAAAGAAAGTAGTTTATTCATTACAAAGTGTTTAATATCTTAAATCAAAAATTACTTTCAAAATGTGTCTTATAAATAAGACTGAAGGGAGTAACTCTTAATATAAAAGCTTGTATATTATAGTTTTAAATAAATGCTCTCTCTGTTAAAAAATGTAAAGTATTTTTTGAGAAATTAAATGTTAAAAAATGTAAGGTATTTTTAATCTTTCGAGGTGTAATCATTATCTTTTTTTAAAAGTGCCTCTATTGATGAATGATTTTATATTTATTGTAGGGTGTTTAATAGAAGTAAATACGAAAAGACATAATTAGTTTAAAAATAAGTAACAACTTTATTAAGAGGTCAAATTTAATTAAAAATATCTTATATTTTTTAATGAAGGGAGTATATAATAATATAGTATAATGTACAAACAATGCCACTTAAGAGTATTTGACTGGATGGGTTTTCTATAAAAAGAAATACTTCTCTTATGGAATAAAGAAAATCGATTAACTCATTAGGTTCGTTTTGAAATTAAAAAATATTACACTCCTGTCTTAATTTATAATATATTTCTAAGAAAGATAAAATTTTAAAAAATATAATACACTTTAATAAAAATAAAATTTTATTAATAATATTTTTCTTATATTATCCTTTCTATTATGTGTTTCCTCTTTAACATGATTTCACAAATTGAGTGTTAAATAAAGTTCCTTTTTGAAAGTTAATATTTTTTGAAAAAATAAATTATAAAAACATATTTAATAAATTTTATTGATATGTATGAGTTTGTTTAAGACTTAAGAGTATCTTATAAATTGAAATGGAGGGAGTATAAAAGAGAGAAAGGAATATAACATTCAATGAGCTATATAGAAAGTAGAAACATTAAATTAGAATTAAATTTCTGTTTTAATAATTGTGGAATAAAATTAAAAGATTAATTAAAGCGTAAGTCTCTATATAGTTATATCAAGGATTCATAAAATATTTTAGCGGGGGCCTTGCAATAGACACACAACTATGTAATACCAACGGGTAATAATTTATAAAATAATTTTAGATAAAATTCATATTGACCAATAAAGCTCATTAAATATATTTTATAATATTATTTTTTTAAAATGCATTAACTTTTAAAAATACTATTCATTTAATATTCTATTTATGAAAAAATATTAAAAGAAAATAATATATAGAAATGATAATATTAAAAAAATATCATTAATAAAATTTTATTTTTGTTAAAGTATTTTATATTTTAAAATTTTTAATTTTTTAAAAATATCTTATAAATTAGGATGGAGTGAGTAGTATATAACTACAATACATTAAGGTGCATTTGGTTTTTAATTCAGCAAAAAATTTGTTTGTTGAAAGTCTATTTATCAAAAATTAATTTGATAAAAGTTAATTATTATGACAAGATTTATATTTAGATATATGTTTTCAAAAATCCACTTGGTAAATTGAAAGTTATTTAACTAATATACAACAAAAAAATACATTTAAAAGTATAATTGTTAAAAAGGACATAATTTCATGATATGTAATTTTTCATTCAAAACTTATTTTTTTTAAAAAAAATAATATAAAACTTGATATGGTGAATAATTTATATAATAAAAATGTATAAATAATATAAATTTTGAAATATTAAAAATATATATAATATAAAATGCATATGTGTGCATAACTTGTGTCTATGTAAATATTAAAAAATTTGACCAAACAAAAATTATTATAATGGTGATCCTTATTAATTAAAGTGTATTTAAGTAGCCATTGTTCTCTTAACTATAAATTGAAGCATTGCCCTTGCCAGTTTACCACTTTGACATAAAATGATAGACAAATCTTAGTAATTGCTAAATTATTTTAAGGGTAATATAGAAATTAAATTTTTAAAAGTTCATCTACAAATGACAAAAGCAACTCTGATGAGAAAAAGTACATTTAAGTAATTTGGCATGAGCTTTTTAAATGGACTTTTTAAGAGAAATCTAAATCCAAACAACTTCTTAATTTAAATCATATTTCAAAAGAATTTTTATTTTGTTAAATGTAAAATTCAAACGGGCACTAGCAATAAAAAAGTAACATAAATTTGCACCCAAAGAAAGGCAGCAAAGAAACTGGGGGGATTAGAATTTAGAAATGCGTAGCGAGGTAGCACCGTGTATTGGAGTACATCACTTCATTGAAGCATGGAAAGGTAACGGCGTAAGATGACGTCAAAGTAAACCCAAAATGGACTTTTCAGCTTCAGCTCCCGTGTCCCAGGCTGAAAGCCATGCTGCCACATTATCCGATGCTGTACTCACTTCCGTCACGTGTTTCTTTCATCCTTCCACGTTTCACTCGCCGTTGGTTTTGACCATTGCGGTTTCGCACTTATACCCTTCCACCTCTTCCCTTGTTTATCTTCACTCGGTTCCGTTTCTCTCTCACATCCTTCCGCTTCCCCTTCATCCAATTGTCTTTCCGTCGATTTCGTAAAAATAAAATAAAAAAAGTACAAATCAACATGCATTAATCAAACCATGTAACATATCTAACCATTCCTTATTGAAAATATAACATGTAAAAATCATTTATGATTTAACATTGCATAAATCCATTGTTAATGATAAATTTATAATGTTTGAATATTTGAATGAACAATACGAGTATCTATGAGTTAAATACACATTAAAATAAGTTAAAAATATTATTGATAAAAGATACTCTTATTTTATTATTATTTTTGATTTTATCTATCAATTATATATGTTTATTATTTTTAAGGTAACATCCTGCTGTTGTAACAGAGATTTCCAACTGATTCAGTTATGAGAAATGGAAATAGAATCTACTTTGCGAGAATGAATAATAATTAATTCCGCCCAACTCCGTATGCCATATAAAAGGCTATAGCAGCTAAACACCTGCTTTCTTTCCCGTTCTCTCACTTCGAGGAAGAATTTGTTTTTCTCTCTTGCTCCGAAGTTTTGTTAGATATGTGAACTCGACTCGGATCTCCGGCATTGACTCATAATCTACAGTAACTAACACCCCATGAATTTCTCAGGTATTCTGTTTTATTGTGGTTTCAGTTTCGCGCATGGAAGAAGCGTAGGTTTCAAAGACTATCAGATTTTGTTTCTGGTTTCCAGCCTTCCAAACAAACTGTTTTCCAATTAATTGACAATTTAATTACGCAAATCCTTCCTCTTCAGTCTCTGCTGTTATTTATTATCTGTGTCAGTCACCGGTTACTGTAGAGAGGTGAATCAGAAACCCACCTCTAGACGATTTTACCATCAACAGCATTTCCACTTCTCTTTCGTTCTGAATTTTCCATCTCATCAACCAACAATTTCTCACAGATTACCGATGCTGGTTTCTCATATTTCTTCTATTCTCCTCTAGCAGGTTCATCTCTTCAAATGGACCTTACAATCGGTGTCTTCCACGGAGGAAAGGTCAAGATTGGACCAAAGCATTGAAATTTTGAGCTTGGCTGATCATCTGGAGCAATCACACTCGGTAATTTTGTTCCTGTTGACATTTTTTTCCTGCAGCAGTTAAGAGCCAAAGCGAGAAGAGTTCCTGGGGGTCTAAAGCAGGAGAATGGAGGTGGGAGAATCAAGCAGAAAGGAGGTTTCCTGGATCCCCATCACCCCTCTGAAGCCCATTCTTACAAGAACAGAGCCGATCTGTGCTGATGGGGAGGGAAATCAGCTGAGCCAAACAAATTTCTTGGAGACTAGTTTATGTGCTTCACCTCATGCCAGTTATGCTGATAGTGCAGTTGCATGTGCTCATTCATCATCTGGTACAGGATTACACATGAAGATGCAGGACCGGGTAGAATCTACTTCTGCAGTAACAAGCATTGGGAGTGACAGTGCTGGAACTTGTGCAAAGCCCACTGCTGGTGTTGTTTCAGGCTTGGAAGGCATGCGCTTTGCCGATCTCTTGGCTCTGGCAGATGCTGCGTCTGAACACTTCAGAGGGATCCATCCAGGCACTAATAATGAAGGGAAGAATCCACTCCTTCCTGATTCCAAGTCACAAAGAGACCCTCTACCGAATCCCGCCAGTGTGTTACCGAGCCACCACAATGTCTCTCTTGAGCAAACCCCGGTCAATATCATTAATTGCATTCCCCAAGAACCCCAAGGTGAGTGAAAATCCAGCAAAAGATGTTCCCCCCCCCCCTCCTTTATCTGAGTTTATTGGCATTCCAATTAGTAGTGAAAGGGGAAAAACTCAGTATTGGGATCATCGAGGATCCCATGGAACTTAAAATAAAATTAGAAAAAAGAAAGGCGACAGAAGTTCATATTAAGAAGGAATAGAGCAGTGAGAAGCAGCTGCGGGGGAAAAACTCAGTAACCTCAATGAGACATTCAATAGCATCGTCAGGAATTTTTCTACATGCTACCATTTGTTTTATTTCGGCCACAGATCATCTCAACTGAAAAGCCAACCTCTTTCCCTCGCCCAAAAAAAAAAAAGAAAAGAAAAAAGAAAAAATCTTATTCATAGAAACTCGCATACCGGAGACCCCCTGTTGAAATATTTGATCAAACTGAGAGCATGTACTAACTGAACTGGCATCCCCCTTTTTTCTTAGTGAATTCTCTGACATTCACTAGAATTTTTTTTTTTTTTTTTTTGCCATACAGGCTCATCATCGATTGCATCTCAGACAAGCACCTGCTTTGGTTGCCGTGGGAAAACCATTTTACACTTTGCACCTCCCACGCCAGACAAAGAAATCAGAGGAAGCAGACAAGTTGTTGGAATGCAGATTAATGTGGAATTGGAGAAAAATGTCCCAAGCACTAACAGTGAAACACCAGATAACCGAGAACTATCTGAAGCTGTCATGGAATCATCATTGGCTGCTGTTTCTACACCATTAAAGGAGAATCACAACCCTGACAAGGGAGGCAGCCATGATGTTGATCTGAATCAAACACCAACACCAAAACAAAGGAGGAGAAAACATCGACCCAAGGTCATCACAGAAGGCAAACCAAAGAATACTAGAAAGCCAGTTACCCCAAAGCCTGCTCAATCAAAAGAAAACCCAACTGGTAAGAGGAAGTACGTGAGAAAGAAAGGAATAAACACAGCTTCTACAACACCTCCAGCAGAAGTAACAGGAGAATCAACTGAGTCTATCTTGCCTGGAACTACTAAAAAGTCATGTAGAAGGTCCTTGAATTTTGAATTAATAGAGCAACCAGGAGATGAATCCACCGTGCCAACAGAAAATGTGACTCTGCATATTGGCAGAGGGATAGATGTATTGGGAGAAACACATGCAGCCCCAAGTACATCTCTCTCAAATATCAGTACTTCTGGGGCTATACCAAATGCCAACTCGACAAGGAACCACAAAAGAAAACGTGTGGCAATGACCGCACAGGATGGACATGAAAAGGCTGATACACAATCAAGTCAAGATGGTGCCAACAGCAGTAAGACTGGAAATCTGACCACGGGATTACATATCGGTAGTACCAAAAGAAAACACTTCACTACTACTGACCATGCAGATATCAGCCACATGAATCTGATTGGGTTGCATTATAATGGATTGCGTGCATACCAGAGGTGCTGGGTTCAATTTCCTGATGTTCAGAAGAAAAGGAGAAGTGAGAAGGTATCAACGTCTAGTACTACATCAAGCACATCTTTGAGTCCCACAAAGGATCCATGGTTTGCGACTTGTCCCCATGATCTTTATGCATCAAGTTCCCAGTGCTTGATTTCTTGTGAATATAATGCAGTAAAAAACCCAGTCACATTTGAAGCGACAGATAGAGCTACTCATGATAGATGTCAAGCATTTGAAGGCCTCTTATCTTTCAGTCAGACAAGGCCAACTAGAAGAAGATCCAAAACCCCAAGTAGATTTCGTGATTTTGCTTCACTAACCACTACTAGAAATTGTAATATCCTCCCAAATCATTTCACTAGAAAACCAAGCAATTCTGACATGCAAATACTTGTGGATGGAGAAAGACCTATTACAAGCATTGATACTTTGGTTGCAGAGAAGATGCATGCATTACTCAAGAAAAAACGGACAACGAGGAAAAACAGAAAAAAAATTGTCATTTCAACATATGCTAGCACAAATCAAATGCATCATGAATCTCTATTGAATGGTTACCAGCCGTCATGGACCATGCCATTAGGTATTTAAGCTAAACTTTATTTCTTTATTCAATTATATTATAGTTGTCGATGACAAGAACAATTTACTCAAGTTTCCCTGATACCCATAAGCTGTTGGTACAGATGCTGCTCATCAAAAGCCATGGAGTAACATGCAGATAATGGAAGCATTGACAGAGAAATTTAGATGCCTAGACATAAATATCAGAGGAACTTCATCACATGAGCAAAAGGCCCTAATCCCTTACAAACGGAAAAGTCAAAAGGACAAGATCCCTCAAGGAGATGGTGCCATCATTCCCTACGAGGGGTCATTCGATCCCATCAGAAAAAGATTGCCACGACCTAAAGTTGATCTTGATGAGGAGACTGATAAAGTGTGGAAGCTTTTGATGTTAGATATAAATAGTCATGGGATTGATGGAACAGATGAAGAAAAGGCCAAACGGTGGGAAGAAGATCGTAGAGTATTCCGTGGACGAGCAGACTCATTTATTGCCCGAATGCATCTGGTACAAGGTATCATTTCAATTCCCGCAAGAATATAAAATTATTCATCTTTGACGTGCATATCTAAAAACACATCACTAGCATCTCGTGCCCAAGGTGAAGCAGTGAGAAAATCAACTAAATAGGAAAAACACTGGTTTAGGAAGATAACAATAACATCTTTTTCTCTGCATTAGAATAAAAACACCCTTTTCACGGGAGATTCGACAAAGTTTTACGTCGACTGTCAAGGTTCTAACACAACCCTCCTCTTTTATCTAAACTTCGAACTAGTTATAAACATAGGCGGAGTTTATATCCTGGTTTGTTGTTGTTGTAGTAGAATAAAAACACCAAAAAGCCCCTTGCAAGCAAGAATCCTACTTTCACAACTGAAAGAAAAAATAGGTGTCACCATGACCGGAAAAAAATTAAAATACCTTGTCTTGTGTTAGGGATAACGCTCAGGAGAAAGTATAGGACCACAAATAATGTTAAAGAAATGTAAGGATCTAAACACATGAACACCAAGACAAATATATTATGATATTTTAAGTATGCTCCTTTGCACCTAGACTTCCAAGTAAGCTATAAGCAGCAAATCATATAAAATTTCATTAACAGATGATGTTAATGTACTGAAATAATAGAGTTGAATATATTGATATCCTTGTGTTTTATAATTGCTGTTTCCAAAGAAATAACAACATCTTCAAATTCTTGCTTTTGAAGATATGACTTCAAGACAGGCAAAAATGTCAAAACTCCAGCATTCAAGATGTAGAAGAATCATCTCCAAGAACCATCATTGTGGCCTTGAAAAATTTTAATTAATACGAAGCTCACTTCTCCTCACACTTGTTGATTCGTCACATATTGCTTGTATTAATATAAAGCAATTTCAACAGGTGATAGGCGCTTTTCTCAATGGAAAGGATCAGTTCTGGATTCTGTCATTGGAGTTTTCCTCACTCAGAATGTCTCAGACCATCTTTCCAGGTATTATTTAAATTTAATAGATGGGACATTTATAAACCAGAGAGTTGTCATGGAAATGTAATTTGTTAAAAGTTTCTTTGTTGACAGTTCTGCATTCATGTCACTTGCCGCTCGATTTCCTCTAAAAGCAAGCAATGAATGCAAAATATACCATGAGGAAAGCAGAGACTTGGTAGTTGACGAACCACAGCCCCTCATCATTGAACCAAAGGAGGATGCAAACTGGGATGACAAGATATTGAATCAACCAGTTTATTGTCAGGGTTCCCTGATGAAAGACATCACTGGGCATTCTGAAGGAAAAGAAGCACTCAACATCAATGATTCCCCAGGAACTACCAGCATCATAACTAGCTTAGAAGATGATTCAAACTTATTGCTGCTTAAATCAAATGAAGGCAACACTAGGGAACACTACGGTTCAATGAGCAAACCCACTGGCACCATCATCACCCAGGAAGGGCGGGAAAAACCATGTTATGGGGAGACTAGGAGAGAGTTAACTGACATAGTTTCATCGCAATGCTCTGTCATTTCATCTCAAATATCAGGAGGTTTTTCAGTTGATCAAAATTCCGAGAAAATAGGGTCATGCTCAGATAGCAACTCAGAAGCAGAGGACCTATCAAGCATAGCCAAGCATAATATTATGGACAACAGCACTTGTTTCAGCAAGCTTTTAGAAATAGCAACTTCTACCAAGTTGTATGAACCTAATAGCCTGAGAACCAAGTCACCTGAGAACCCTAAGAAGGCATTTGATCTATCTATTGGTATGAAGCATGACAAACCATTAGAAGACTTGGAAAAATCAGATGTCATTCAAACCTCGATGGAAGAATCCACAACCCCTTTGAGCAACTCAGGATTACTTGAACCTCACAGCTTTGGTTCTTTCAAAATGGAAGCACCCTCAAGTGGCTTCTCAAATAATAAAGATGAGAATGATATGGACAAATCAAGTGCGCAAGCAAGAGAGTCCAAAAGTCAAGCTGCAATTTCACCATCTGAAAGCATGCCATCTCACCTTCACAAACAAAGCAATGTAATGCAGCAGATCTTTTTGCAAAGTTCTGCAAAGACTCAAGATCTCATGCAGAAAGCAACAGAATCAAATTCTGGAGACCAAAACTATGTTGTGATGAATCAAAGCACAGAGATAAATGCTGCCCCGATAAAACCAAAGGGCAGGAAGCCTGCAAAGGACAAAAAGAAAGAAGTGGACTGGGATAATTTACGGATACAGGCACAACTAAAGGAAGGGAAAAGAGAAAAGACAGCAAATACCATGGATTCTTTAGATTGGGATGCTGTAAGATGTGCAAATGTCAATGAAATTGCTGGTGCCATTAAAGAACGAGGAATGAACAACATGCTTGCTGAGCGTATAAAGGTACAATAGAACTTACATAGAAATTATTTATCAATGCATTTCATGGAAATAAAATCCCTGTATATCAAAGTTTACGTGATAAACTATGCAGAATTTCCTAAATCGACTGGTTGAAGAACATGGAAGCCTTGATCTTGAGTGGTTGAGGGATGTTCCGCCTGATCGAGCAAAGTAAGTTTAGGAGGTCAATTTAAATATTTAAATGGTATTATAATTCCCAGATAAATGATGATAGGACATACTGATTCTATAATGCTGTAAATCTTGAACTCTCAATTCACTACTGTTTGCATTGACATGTACACTCTGCCCATGTCACCGAAGCACTAGTCAACATGCATCCTACATATTGAGAAGCTAATTCATGCATGCAGAGAATACTTACTAAGCATAAGAGGATTGGGGTTGAAAAGTGTGGAATGTGTGCGACTCTTGACACTGCACCACCTTGCTTTCCCGGTAAGTTGAAAAAAGTTTATGCAAATACAAGATGATATAAAATTGAGCACTCTAAACATTTTATTGCTATATAATAGGTGGACACAAATGTTGGGCGTATAGCAGTAAGGCTGGGATGGGTACCCCTCCAGCCACTGCCAGAGTCATTGCAGTTGCATCTACTTGAATTGTGAGTATCCTAGAAATACTGTGCTAAGTCTATAATTTATTCAGATAACTTCTAATATACAGTCTGGTACAGGTACCCAGTGTTGGAATCCATACAAAAATATCTCTGGCCCCGACTTTGCAAGCTAGATCAAAGAACATTGTAAAGAGTTCTTTCCAGTTTACATTAGTAAATTAATGGATACAAGTATCTTCATGAACTCTTTAAGTTACATAACTTACCTATTGATCAGTTGTATTTTGCATTATATTGCAGGTATGAGCTACATTACCAGATGATTACATTTGGAAAGGTAAAGTACTTCTATTCTATATTTTACGTTAGAGACTAATCATAATCAGTTGTGACTCCTGATTGTAGTAAAAACCAAAATTAATGCAGGTCTTCTGTACAAAAAGCAAACCAAATTGCAATGCATGTCCAATGAGAGGAGAATGTAGACACTTTGCAAGTGCATTTGCAAGGTATTTATAATATTATATGACCTTATTATATAATTCATGATTATCGGTGGTGAATGCATTACATTGCATGATTTCCATCCAGATCTCCTTTCACGTAATTCAAAAAGAACTGCAGATACTATTGACAATGCAGGCAACAATAATGTTTTGAAAATTACCCTGAAATTACGATGACTTGCATGTTTTTTAGTCATGATAAATCAATTTACAGATAGACATTGTATGCAGTGCAAGGCTTGCCCTGCCAGGACCAGAGGAGAGAAGTATAGTCAGCACAGCTGGAAACAATGGATCTGATCAAAACCCATCTGTGATTATTGGTCAGTCACCCTTGCCTCTCCCTGAAAACACAACTCCGGTTGAAGAAAATGAACAAAGGCAACTGCTAGCAAAATCTGGAATTGTCACCTGCGAACCCATCATTGAAGAACCAGCAACACCTGAAACAGAATACACACAAACATTAGAAAATGATATAGAGGATGCATTCTATGAAGATACTTGTGAAATTCCTACTATCAAACTTAACATTGAAGAGTTCACTCTTAATTTACAAAATTATATGCAAAAAAACATGGAACTTCAAGATGGAATGTCAAAGGCCTTGGTTGCTTTGACTCCAGAAGCAGCTTCTATTCCTACACCCAAGCTAAAGAATGTGAGCCGACTACGAACAGAGCACCATGTGTAAGTCCCTGACCCCTTGTTCTAGTAAAAATGCAAGTGAAATAACTAAATTCAAATTTGAACATGGGATGACAGCAATGATATTAGAACAAGTAAACTGAGGAAGTATGGAGACGAGAAAGGAATGTCTAGTTTGAAATAAAAGCTATTCAGTCATTATAAGATTTCATTTATCCAGAATCACAGAGATGAGAACTGCCCAGAAAAATGATAGTATAAATCTGGCATTTATATAACTTTAAGTACTTAATATAAATTTCAACAGACATCAAATCCACCATAATATTATAGTGAAAAGATTCAATAATATATGCTGATTCCTTCTTCATCTCCCTCCAGTTATGAACTCCCAGATTCACATCCTCTTCTGGAAGGGGTTAGTTACTGTTAACTCTGTTTTTCAAATTCTCTTTCTTATGATTTATATCTTATCGCTTTGCTTCTGTTGTACAGTGGGACAAGCGAGAACCTGATGATCCATGCAAATACCTTCTTGCCATATGGACTCCAGGTAGACTAAATAACAATCCAATTACCATGGCCTTTTCGTATGTATTTATAGGTTTTAGGTCTGTCTGCAGCATGTAGCATTGCAAGTTGAGAAAGTTCACGAATATATCATTTGTTTTGGTTTTATGATATTTTGTGATTTGCATTAATGCTTGCATCAGGTGAGACAGCAAATTCTATACAGCCACCAGAAAGCAGATGCAGCTTCCAAGAAGATGGCCAACTGTGTAATGAGAATGAATGTTTCTCATGCAACAGTATTCGTGAAGCTAATTCACAGATAGTGCGAGGGACAATCCTGGTCTGGATCTGTATCAAATTTATAATGTCAACCATATGTTATCTCCTAGCACTGTAATAGGCTGACTTGAATTTATGATGAATTTTTGACAGATACCATGTCGAACAGCCATGCGAGGGAGCTTTCCCCTAAATGGCACCTATTTTCAAGTCAATGAGGTAGAGCAGTGTGAAATGTCAGATTTCAAATGTCGTCTTCTTTTATGTTTTTTCCTTCGTAGTTTTAAGTGGTGCTAAACATATCATTTACTGCAGGTATTTGCTGACCATGACACAAGTCTGATCCCAATTAATGTTCCCCGAAGTTTGATTTGGCATCTTAATAGGCGGACAGTTTATTTTGGAACATCCATTCCATCAATATTCAAAGGTAAAGACTTCTCAATTATCATTATTAAATAACTTAAGAATGATGTCTATTTCAAAGAACAATTGATCATGAGCCTTTTGTCAACCAGGTTTATCAACACAAGAAATTCAGCAATGCTTTTGGAGAGGTAAGATTTATTTCTCACATTTTATCTTGCGTTGGTATAAAAACTAAAAAGCATCACTAGTTTGCAAACTTAAATACAATAAGAGGCCAATCACTAAAGGATAATACCCTAGTACGACATACTCCAAGAATGTAGAAACGTTGTAAATGCCACCATAATGTGATATCTCCCATCTATCACTCTCAGGTTAGCATTTTGTGGACATATAATTACACAAATGGAAGGAAAGAAAACGAGTAAAGAGACTTTGACATGGTCATGACAACTCAAACAACAAGTGCACAAATCCTCGAGATAAAAATATGAGCTCCCCCACAGACACTACCTGATGATTTGGTGATGTATTACACCCAACATTTGTGGCCTATCGGTAAACCCTTGTTAGTTTATATCTAAATTTGCTTCCATGGCAAGAGAGAAGTAACATCTAAGCAGACAAGATGAAACGAATTACCTGTCAAACAAACCGCAACCAGAACTATTTTCACAAATAAGCTTAACCCAATCCTCAACCCACTTCAGTAAAGTTTCAAAAGGCAAAAGATAAAGCATGAAAACACGTGGAAAAGAGAACAGTTTAGGAATCACAATGAAGCCACACTTTTGAAAGTAAGACTTAACGTTACAGATCCCAGAAAAAGGTAATAATTGAGCACATTATAAAAACCGTTCAAATTTGAAAGAGTGTATGCTTCTGAGTGACAGAGAAATATTTCAGTGCAAGTTGATCACAATTTTAATTACTTTTTCACCTTCATGATGCTTGAGAAACGCATGCAATATATCACAATTCCTAAATGCTTAAATAAATAGGGTATAACATAGAGGCATCAACTCCTTTGAATTGTTGGTTAAAAGAAAACACAGAAAGATTGTGGACTTTATCTCATGTGGTTTATCACCAAGTGAAGTCCATGTCACAACTAATACACATTACTACGAAAGCCTTACAACCATATATTTTCCTAAATAAGAACTAACTGAAACCCTTGATAGCTAGCATGAGGATCCTATGCTCTGTGTGCAGCGTCATTTTTCTTTCATAATGCACCATAAATCTATGCAAGAGTAAGATGTATAATGTTTTATATGTATACTTCCTGGTTCGATAAGAAAAATGCACAGTTCACTGTAGTTTTCTTACCAAAAATTTCATCTTGAGCTAATTTTCTTTGCAGACCGTATCCATATGAAACAAAGATCTTACTAACGCATAAATGTGGTGCAGTTTTAACAAATGGCTGTGCACAAGATTGTTCTGTGTGTGTCCTGTGTGTACGGGGGAGAATCCTTATTCTAATATCTATTCTCTCTCACCATTTCAGTCCCATCTAGGACCAGCGTCTACTAATTCTACAAACCAGAAAATCTCCATGACAATTTGATTATTTGGCCCATTTTACAGTAGGTCTCGATGTTCTCTTGTGCAAGTGAATTTTTCTTACTTATCATATCATAAATTAGTTCCAGTATATATTTTCTGCTCAGCCGATGATTTATAACATAATCTCAGTTATCTGATCTTATAGTGTTTTGTGTCTTAATACTGTCTCTGTTCCTTGCTATTTGGTTAGACCTCTTGCTTCGATACTTAATACACCAGTGAATTATTAGTTTTGGAGTGCAATTGTAAAAAAAGTCGCGCATTTACAAATTCAAATCATTATATTAAATATACGAAACATTTTTTTGTTTTCCTCTCTTAATGGGTTGTCCTTAGAAGAAAGAAAAGGAAAGCAGCGAAAAAATGGCAAAGAACTAACTTTCCCTAGTAGGAAGAATATAGGTTACGAAGTAGTAACAGGTAAGTTGTCTGGGTAAGCTTTACGTGGAAACCCAGCCTATCTAAACAGATGGTGATGTTGCTTTGCAGGATATGTCTGTGTGCGGGGCTTTGAGCGGGAAACACGAGCACCACGGCCCCTTATGGCTAGACTACATTTTCCAGCTAGCAAGTTGATCAGGACCAAAGAAAAGACCAGCGGTCAGTAGAGCTTGACAAACTCACGAGGATTGAAACTAAAACCACGATTTCATTCTAACAGCCACAAGTTAGAGAATTCGGAAGAAAGGGATGCGAAAGGCAGAGGCAAAGTTTGTCATTTCATACTATATGGCCCAGATACACGTGTATAATAACCAAGTTATTGATAATTTATATCATGCTTCTGTCTTCAAGCTCAAAGTTTGAGCAATTTTCCAGACTAGGACCAAGATTGTATTAAGAATCATGATAATTATTAGTATAGCATTCAGCTTCTTGTTCGCAAAACGAGTACATGAAATGTGAGTATCCGGGGCTAGGAGTGAAGATTTAGGACTGTTTCCAGACACAGCAGGGCGTATCCAGTCTCTGTAGCTCATTGCAGAGAAGCACCTTTCAACTATTTTTCGTTGATTCTATATTCCTCGAATGAAATGAGATGATTTTGCCCCGAACTGCGATATTACCGGGGAGATTGACAGAGTCCCACGTGTCCCGCAAGCCCCAACAACTCTTAATCTGGTACAATAGAAGGAGAGGACCAGGACTGAAGGGATAATTGGAGAGGTGGCAGAAGCAACGAGTGAGGACGTGGGCGGCAAGGGGTGATTACTTCTACGCCATCTTCATTAATTTCTTGCAGTTATTATGGTAGTTTATGATTAGTTATTATGTTATAAATCTATAATTGAGGTGCAGTTATTGTTAGAGTCATTTTAATTTCAATTGAGTATAATTGATAATAAAAAAATTAATTAATATGATTGATTATGTTATAATGTGATTATGTTTGGATATTTTTTTTAAATATTTAAATAATTTAGTCAAAGGTATAAATTATAATAAAGGACATTGATTTTAGTGTATATATATTATCTAATGAATAATTAATGATAAAAATTTAAATTATATTATATTGTAATATTAATATGTATAATGGTGATGCATATAACATTTATATAATTATTTAACATATATATTTGATTAATTATAGAAAAATTTAAACTTTATTATATTATAATATTAATAATTTAATTTAATGTTCGTGCTTGCCTTCAGACTTTTTGCAGAAAGTACTCTGGTATAGAGACGTGATAAAGGAGGATAATAGATTGCATATTCGATGGAGGAGGCGAACAAATATCGAAGGATATGGTAGAAAGGTATATTTGGCATATGAAATTTCTGACAAATAGCAAATACATTTGATGGTATAATTGAAATCCAAAAACCATTTTCCTCAGCTTAATCAAAAATGTGCTTCGGACTCAGATAATTGATTATGATAAAATGGAGGTGTTTTGGCCTTCGTTTTTTTTTCTTTTTTTTTGGCCAAAATCATGGTTTTGGTTCAAATGATTGATTATTGATACATGTCTAAACAGGCAATTAACAGTTACATTGTATGTATCTTTTATAAGTAGTAGCAGTATGAAGCATTAGGATTCAAACTTGTGATTTAGTTGAACTTGCATTCGGAGATTCTCCTTGGTTTAGTGAATTTAGCAGTGTTTCCGGATTTTGGCATCATTTTCTTTGGCAAATTTTCTTTCTTCTTTTTTAAAACTGGGATCCTATCATTTTAGTACAGAACAATCCACCACGGTCATGCGTTCCACTCGCTTTAGTCACTTCTCCTTGTAAATTTACACCTTCACTTTCCATTCCATCAACCATTCATCCACTGATTATATTGTAACCACAATTATATATCAACTCTCACTTTGATAGCATCATTGCTAAAATTTCCGCACAAAAAGACCCAATTAGTAATTCTCATCCTGAACAAACTATCAAGAATATACCAGTCAAAGGCAGTGGGAACCCACTTTGCTGGGATGCGAGATGTAGAGATCAAAAAGCATAGAAGCTGCTTTTAAATTCAGAAGGAAGTACAAGGTCACCAATGTGGCTCTGGAGTCTGGAGTACGAATGCAAGGCAGGCTCGATTAGAATCACGTTGAAGGACTCAGGCCTAGTTTTGCTACTTATTGGACGAACAGAAAACCTCTAACAAGACAGGAGCAAGAGAGAGAAAAGGGAAAGAGTAAAGATGAGGTTATATTAATCTGAGCATAGTGTACATTATTTATAATATGAGTTTTCTTAAATTATACACATGTATATCTCAATTGAATGACTAATAATCATAATTATATTTAATCATTTGTGACAATATATTAACTGACTTGAATAGTCACCCATAAATCAAATGTGAATGTTACAAGATTTATAAATATCTTTAATGGCTACTCATGAACCAAGGTATCCTAAACAACATCAGACACTTTTAGCTTGGTGTTCAGTGTTGTAAACTAAGCATGAGACAAAGGTTTTGTGAAAACATCAGCCATTTGATCTGCAGAAGGTACATATACAACCCTAATCTTCTTTTGTAACACTTTGTCACGAACAAAAAGGAGATCAAACTCTATGTGCTTTGTTCTATGATGAAGAACAAGATTATGTGCTTGTTGAACATCATTAATATTATCACATAAAATCAAAGGAATGAGAGATTGTGGAGTAACACGTAACTCAATGAGACTTTGAAGCCATATAAGTTTTGTCGTGACATTAGCAAGACTCTTATATTTAGCCTCTGTACTAGATCTAGCCACTATAGGTTGCTTCTTTGCATACCAAGAAAAACACACAAGCCAAAAAAATAGAACATTGATCATCTAAGTCACTACCCCAATCAGTATTGCAATGAGCTAGAAAAATAAGATTAATCTGTTTTCAAAAATGTAGACCATGTGTAAGAGTCCCTTTAAGGTAGTGTAGAACTCTTTTGACTGCTTGCTGGTGATTACCTGAGGGCTTTGGATGAATTGACACACTTTATTCACACTGAAAGATAACTCTTGTCTAGTAACAATAACATGCTATAGAGCACCAACTATAAACCTGTAGAATGCAAAATTAGTCTTATTAAGTTTACTAGTAAAGGTCATTGAAGTGAAAACTCCTTTTCATTGAGACATACTACTTTATAAAGCCAATCTGGTGAAAGGTGAACTAGTTACCTTCTCTCATTAGATTGTTGTAAAACTTAATGGAAAAAATTTCCTCCTATAGCCTTAACAAGTAGAAGTTATCATTTGAGGTCACAATCTCCACAACTTCATTAAGACTTTGTCTACTCCATTGTGGTTTGCCTTCAACCAAGATCTTGAATTTGGTACTGTTTCTTCACTGGTATCGTTAGGACTAACTCCTCTTTTCTTGGATTCAATCTTCTGTTTCTAAAAGCTTGCTTACTCGATTGATTGGTTGTACCACCTCGTGTGTGGCTGGGAAACTCATATATGATTTCTTCTCTACTTATCATTGAGTGAAGTTGCTTTTTCTCTATAAAGAGCTCCACAACACTAACAGAGATGATTAGCCAATTTCTAAGTATATTTTACTTTTTAAAGCGTTGGAAGACTCACTTATTGCTGTTGGTCACTTTGTTTTATAGCAAGATCAGATTGAGGTTATCTTGATGGTTTTCCTAAGGAGTATGAATCTATCATCTCCTCTGTTGCTACTCAACGTGATCCATTCTCCTTAAGTGAGATTAAGTCTCTTCTTATTAGCAATGAACTCAAGCTGTCTAAATCATTTAAAGTTATTGCTACTTCATCGTTTAAGCCTTGTACATCATTTTCTTCTGTTCAATCGAAGACTGACTTTCCGGGTGGTAGTTTGTTACCCCCTCTGATTGCTATTTTGGCTGCTCAAGCATTGTCAAACTTTCACATGCGTGGTGGCAATGGTAATCATGGTTGTGGTGGTTGCGGTAGTGGAGGAGGGGGCAGTCGTCGTAGTTGTGGCTTTTATTTTCGTCCTCAACTAGTTTGTCAAGTTTGCTTTAAGTTTAGGCACACTATCGCATTCTTCTATCACAGGTTTGATCATTCCTTTACTTCTCCTCCTCCGCCTTGTATACCTGCTTAACTCCATTACAACTTTGCTTCCCATCCATCTGCTTATTATGCCTTTTATGATCCGTTTACTTATGCCTCTTACTACTCTCCTACTCCTGAGTATTCTTCTAGTACTTGGATTGCTGGCTTTGATACTATAGCAAGACAAGAGCAAGAGAGAGAAAAGGGAAAGAGTAAAGATGAAGTTGTATTAATATGAGTACAAGGTACATTATTTATAATATGAGTTTTCCTAAACTATGCACGTGTATATCTCAATTGAATGACTAATCATCATAATTACATTTAACTACTTGTGACAATATATTAAGTAACTCTAATAACCTTAAACATCTTCTAGGGTTGCGGCAGGCCCAACAATACACTTCTAACAGCTTCCCTTGATTAAGATTTCTCATGGAAGAAGTCACCTGTTGCCATTCAAGAGACTCTTCACAAGAGGCTTATTATGAAAAACCAACTTCATAATAGCCAACGGAGAACAAAATCAAGTGGCAAATAAACTGGCAAAAGAGGTGATTAATTACCCTTCTTTATTTAAGATGGCTCTTGATTTCTTAAAGAGCTTAGTTTCTTTTAAAAGTTTAGGATCTCAGCCCCCTTTGATGTAATCCTTTTTTTATTTTGGGCTTAGCCCTCTTTGTTATCAAAAAGAAAATTTCACAATAATCAGAATCAGGTTGTGACAATCTACATCTCTTCCTTGTTTATGTGTTTTCTCGACTTTGACATCATGGTCTGTCATGAGGATTATTTCTTTCCAAATTTTAGTTTTTCACATTGGCCCTTTCACAGTGTTTTCACATTTTAATCTTTTTTTTCTCTAATATAATAAATTTGTCTTTCTTAAAAAAATAGTACAGTGCACTGTTGATGGAATTGATGATGGCTAAAGGTGGTAGAAGATTTGTATTAGTTTCATAGTTGCTTTCTATGACATACTTCCTTTGTTTTCAAATATATAAGATAAATTATCAATTTCTTTATTTTCTTAGTTACTTATCTCTTTATTTTTATCTATAAGTGAAATTATAAATTTCAAGAAATATTTGTTATATTTTTTCAAATTATCCTCGTTTTTTACTTTTAAACATAATTAGTATACTTAATTAACATTCTTGAACTGTGTGAAATGATGCTGTTTTCTCTCATGGTATTTGAAAGTGAGGGGAGCATGCACTTAGGCAGTTGTATTTCCGGTGATTTTTTGTTGTTGTCATCATCGACATAGCACCCTTCATGTTTGGTTTCCATGCCAAATGCAGTTTTTATTTAAATATATAAAACACTGTATAATGATAATAATTTAGGGCAGCAAGATTAGATTATAAGGAAATTAAAAAAAACAGGAAGCTTGATATTTCTACAACAAATAAAGAACTCATTCTAACAATTATAAGTCACAACTTATAAAATCTCTTGTTCTCTTTTTTTCCTCAGTGAATAAAGGTAAAATTTTATGTCACCAAAAGAAATAAGAGATCAAGGTAAAAGAAATGAATAAGACAAGAGAATGTTAAAATGGTAGAAATGAAGAAGACAGCAGGAAATTGGAAAAAAAGAGAAGTGATTTTTATTCATTTAGGTTATCACAAATGTATGCACATCACCTTTGTTTGCAAGACCCCAATATTGAAGACCAACCTTAATAGTTATAAGTACATAAAGAAGAGAATTAAACAATAAATTGTACAATTAGAGGTTGTATAAAATAAATACTAGCAACTGTTCAATTAAGGGGTTATGGGATATAATAATATGGGATGGAATGTGAAAAGTTGAATGGTGTGGACATTCACACTAATTATAATATTCATAGCATAAAAATTGAACTTTGATAGTTTTTTTTACTAGCAGTGAGCAAAGAACATGGTTAAGAACTGGCCTAAAAAAAAATACAAAGTACACATTAAAACTATTTTTTGATATAGATAGATTTTCTAAATATTGATATTGATAGTGAAGGGGTATTACTGTTCCTAATTCACAGTACAAGATCCGTCCATGGGCTCATTGGTATCGACAATATGGATGTCGCGAGGGTGATAGGCCAACCATGTATCTACCCATCCCAAACAAAATTGTCCTCATAATTGTCAGCTACGTTTTGTGACAGCTGGGCTCACTGTTCCTACCAGGCCTCTCTTTTTTATTGGCTGTTGCGTGTTTTAAAAATGGTGGCAAGCACTGATTGATGAATTGAATAAACTAATTATTAATTATAGATTAATGACGAAAAGGAAGAGGCTCGCATTGATGACGCACGGGAACAGCTTTGGATTCACTGAACATCTCCATGGTTGTCTTGGTTTTTTAATTCACCCAAATCTATCGCCTCCAGCGAAACTGTTTGAAAACAAGTTTCCCATAAATCCAAGCTCCCAATCCCTGGATAAAGCTGTTCCCACTTGTCTCCATCTCGATTACTAAATTATCCCCACACTAACCAAATAAGACTACTATTCATTAATTTACTTGCCACTAGCATGGCTTGTTATGGTCAAGGCTGCCCCAGTGCCTCCTTGAATTTTTTCTTTTGTTATTATTGATTATTAAAAGTGGGATATGTATGTTTATAATTCTTTTTTTTTATTATTATTTTTCATGATTACGATTGCGATTCCAACCCCTTTTGGAGATTTTTTTTTTTTTGGGGGGGGCACTAGTTCAAAAACATTTCAAATAATGGCGCCCTACGACATGTCGCGGTCCAAACAATGCCGTAGCGCGCGTGGAATGAACGGACAGGATAGGAGGCCGGCAGAGACGGTGCGGGATCGGATGACTCAACGTGTGAACCAAAACACCGGTTTCCCACGGACCGGAAATATACCGAACTGCTGCAAATATAGTTAATAATTAATAATTAATAATTAATGTATTAATGCTTAATTGGAAAAAGAGATTAATCACGAAAAGGAATATTATACGATTGCGCCACCGAATTAAAAATCCTCGCCGCGTTCGCGAATTTTCTCCGACGTGAGAAAGTTCGTAGTCACCTCATCCTGGCTAGGGGACAGACCGTTCATTCGTAATGGCGGGTTCTAGGGTTTGGTGACCAACGGATAGTGGCGAGCCCTATGGAAATGCCCAGTAGGAGATCCAACTACACGCTGTTGAGCCAAGTCCCCGATGATCACTACGGCGGCGGAGCCGTGTCGTCGGGGACTGCTGCTCCCTCTTCGTTGTTTGGTTCTTCGTCTGGGGACGGCAAGAACATTAAAGGCAAGTTGGACAGAGGGTTTGATTGGGACTTGAGTACTGATCATAGAGTGACTCAGCAGGGGAACCGGATAGGAAATTTGTTTCCATCGATCGGGTTGCAGAGGCAGTCCAGTGAGAGCAGTTTTGGCGAAAGCTCGCTGTCAGGCGAGTATTATGCTCCGACTCCATCTACTGCAGCTGCAAATGAGATCGATGCCTTTGGGTATATGCATGATGATGGGGCCAGGATTGGTGGAGGCGCTGGTGTTGGGTCCGACTTAAGACCGAAGTTGACGGAAACTACGGTGCGAACAGCTGGGTCGTCTTCAGGAAAAAGCTGGGCGCAGCAGACGGAGGAGGGTTATCAATTACAGCTAGCTTTGGCGCTTCGGCTTTCATCCGATGCAACTTGTGCTGATGATCCCAATTTTCTGGATCCAGTCCCGGATGACTCTGTTTTGAGGTCGTCATCCTCGAGCTCTCCGGAGGCAGTGTCACATAGATTCTGGGTATGCTGATTGCATTCTATTCTCTGGTCTAGATTGTGTTATTAGATTTTGGTTGCAAATCCTGGTAATAGCTGTGGACAAGAGATTGGGCATATAGCGGTTTCATATGCGTTATTGTGTTGAGGCAAAAAACAAAAAAACAAAAGAAAAGAAAATTGTGGTATGGAGATATTAAGTCCCAGTAAATTGAAATATATGAATAGACATAATAGTTATCCTAGGGCTATGAGTATCATGATTGGCGGTTTGAGAGTTTTTATCTTTATGTTGTTTACGAGGCTATTAGCCAAATTATATACAATGGGCTCTTGTATGACGGTGCAGCGGTTCTATGATTGATATGGTTTCATAAATGAGTAATTCGCGTGAGTTCATCCCGTCTTTCTTGACTTCATCAACATGAAGATTAAATAACGTTGATCAAGACAAATTTGGGGGACAAACTTCTTTCAAACTCTTTAATCCTTTCCAGTGTAATGAGTGACGGGATGAACTATATTGCAACTTGTACTCAAGGAGGTTGCATCAGTCTAAAATCCTATTAACTTTTGTTTCTATAACAAACGTATAGTTGAATCTTGAATTATTATGTTAAGTCTGCTATAGGTTTCTGGGATTCCAGGTTTAAAGTGTCTTTTCTTTATTTTTCACTACCTGGCAAGTTGTCAGGCCTCCGGAGGAAACAGATCAACTAGTTGTTCCCTTGTCATAGGTATGACAGGAAGAAAGTTTGCTTCCTAGACTTTAACTTTTCAATTTTAGTTTGGAAAAATGTGTATGATATAGTGAATTCTACCGCATGGAGCATGGACAATTCTAAAGAGAGTTGTGTCCACGTCCAACTAATGTTAAACACTCACACAAAGGCACACTCTATAGTATGTATGAAACTCAAGATTTATCTCGTCACATTGTCCATGTCAATGGACACGCTTCATAGATTCCTTGCAATGTCAGCAGTTTATGCTGTTTTCTGATTGTTAACATGGCTCCTTAGTTTGTCCATATTATTGATTCGTTCTTTAGGCAATAACTGATTTCTTGGTCCTAAAGAAACTTTTTCCACTTTTGAATTTGCTTGGTCCTAGACTTTAGCTTTTCTATTTTAGTTTGGAAAAGCATGTATGGTGTTGTGAATTCTGCATTATGAAGGATGAATGAGCAAAAGCTTTGTATCAGATGAAATTGGCACCAGGAGATCACAGACACAATGGAGAGGCTTAAATATTTGTCTTGGCTATCACTTATTCAAGACAGAAACCTAAACATGGTTTTTTCATTGTCATGTAGATTAAATTCAACAGCAAAAAAGTCCCTTGCCTCTCTTCATTGCTCCACTTCTCTCATTTCCTGTTATTTTCCAGAAATTAATGGAGGAATGTGGAGTTAGTTCACATTGATGGATTTGCACCTCTTGTTGGTAGACACGCAAATTTATGATGTCTTCTTATTTAATAATGACCTCCAGGTTAATGGCTGCCTATCATACTCCGACAAAATTCCTGATGGCTTTTACTTAGTTCATGGGATGGATCCCTATGTGTGGACTATGTGTACTGATCTGCAGGAAAATGGCCGAATTCCATCTGTCGAATCACTGAAGTCTGTGGATCCTTGTGCTGACTCTTCACTTGAAGTAGTTTTGGTTGATCAGCGTAGTGATCCCAGCTTAAAGGAATTGCAAAATAGAGCGCATGGTATTTCTTTTGGCTGTGTAACATCAAAAGAGGTTGTAGACCAGCTTGCCAAGCTGGTTTGCAACCAAATGGGGTGGGTCTCCTTGGCATTCTCAGCATGAACTATAAGCTTAGTTTTTTAGTTATTTTATTCTAACTATGTTTCATTGATATAACAAGGGGTTCTGCATCTGTTGGGGAGGATGGCCTTCTTTCTACTTGGAGGGAGCGTAGTAACGATCTTAAAGATTGCTTAGGATCTGTTGTTGTTCCAATAGGCAGTCTTTCTGTTGGCCTCTGTAGACATCGTGCTACATTATTCAAAGTAAGTTTCTACTTCTCTGTGGTTATGCATCTGTGCTAATTGACACGTTTTTGTTCATTGATTTTATACAAGTGATCATTTTATCAAGTTTATGAGATAACATGCTTGATCTACGATATCTTCAGGTGCTAGCTGACACTGTTGATTTACCATGTCGGATTGCAAAGGGCTGTAGATATTGCTCTAGAGATGATGCTTCCTCTTGCCTTGTCCGTTTTGGACTTGATAGGTATTTGATTCATTATTATAGCATATGCATTGATTTTTGTAAGTTGTATTATAATTTAAAAAATTGTTCACTTCAGTTGTAACCATAGGAATGCAAATTTAAGAAAGGGCAGTGGGTGTAGCTAGCATTCTGAGATCATTCATGTGTATTAACATAAAATCAACTGTATGTTAGGATGCTGACACGTGTGATCTGATTCCTTATAATTACAGGGAATATCTGGTTGATTTAATTGGGAAGCCAGGTTGCTTGTGGGAGCCAGATTCCTTGCTCAATGGTCCATCCTCCATCTCATTTCCCTCACCCTTGTGCTTTCCAAGACTTAAACCAGCTGAACATACAATTGATTTCAGGTCACTGGCCAAGCAGTATTTCTCTGATTGTGTGTCCCTTGAGCTTTCTTTTGACAATAATTCTTCAGGTAGTAATCGTACATCTAAGCTTGTTTGGTGCTCTAAATTTGGGCCTGTTGTATACTGCTGTCATGTATTTGGATGATATGCCCATCCATTTCCATGATTTTTTTTTTCTTTTTAATTTTATAGCTGTCTAATCAATGATGAAATCATCTGCTTGAAGCTAACTATCCATAAGGAAATTGCCTTCCATTCAAACTTATTATGCATTTACTAAACAAGATGGTAGTAATGTTGCAGCTCTGTAACCTGAGTTTTCTGTCTGCTACTCTTTTTTTTTTCCGTCATTTTTTATTTGTATAAGCCATTACATGTCTCTTCATATGTTTGCTCTAATTATTTAACTATTGTATTTCCTTTTTGAGCTTGTATGTCCTAAGAATTTTTATTACTAATAAAGGGACAGAAATGCAGAATCCCTCCAATTCTACTTTAGTCAGAAAAAAAGAGCAGGGGATTCTGCTGTGATATTTAGGGTCTGCATCATGAAATTAGGAGAACATGTCAGTCTTGGGAGTTGGCATTATAATAATCTAAATACTGACAATCTGACATGCTAAAGTATCATCAGATGAAATTTGATTTGGGATACTTCTCTCTTTTTTTCCCTCTCTACCATAATGCTCTGTTGAGTACCATTATTAAATTCCTAATTCATGGATGAAAATAGTGGCAAAAACTGTCAGGAGTGTCAGCTAGTTTCCTTTAAAGATGGAAATTGAGTAGGAACGAAGTAGAACTTTTTGTTTAGTAATTATTGCATAAGGAGTGGCTGGGTTGATTATGGTCAAATTTTTGAGCTAGACAGCCTTTGGAAGAATGGTGGAAGGACGTATCCATCAAATAGATGCCCGTGTAAGATGTTTGACAGTGGTTATTGTATGCATGACCATGCAAACTGATATGCAGTTATGTATGTGTGATTTTTATTGCTAGTTTAAACTTTGAATTTGAAGCAAGTGACTATATAATAAATTTAATATTGAAGTAGCTGTTTTTGATGGCAACTCTGGGTTCTATATTTCAGAACAGTTCGATGGAAAGTGCAAGGACAGATATGACCCCAGGTCAATTTCAATTTCAAAGGAAAGCAACAGAACAAAAGATCATGGTTCTGAAGCATTTAATTCATATAAACCTTCCCAGAACATTGCAGACTCTAAGACTTCGGGCAAGGCTCCATTGCCTATAAATCATAACCTACCTCCTGGTCATAGAGATATGATGAAGCCTTTGGTACGTACAAATCTAAATGTGGATGCTATTGAGGGTAGGTGGTTTGTCGGTGGTAGCCAATTGGTTCCTGGCAGACCAAACATAGAATTAGGCATTGATATGGAGGATTTGGACATACCATGGAGTGATCTTGTTTTAAAAGAGCGAATTGGATCAGGTATGTCTCCTCCTTTACCAAATGAATTTTCTAGTCTTGCATCAAGAATTTCATGTAAAGATTTTGAAACAGCAGATGCTCTTCATTGTTACATGTTTCTTGCAATCAGCATTAGTAGTCATTAATTGAATTTGCTTCATTTTCAGGTTCGTTTGGAACTGTACATCGTGCTGAATGGAATGGCTCAGTAAGCAACTTATTTATTTGTTATTTAAACTGACACTGTAAAATCCATTGACTATATATTTGCCTCATGACACCTTTTTCATTAGGTTTGCGTCATTTCAATTTAGGTATCTGGCAGATACTAAGTAATCAAAACTTTGTTTACTTAGTGCAAGCATGTGTAAATAATAGATGCCAGACAGCATCCTTGCTAGCTGAATCTAAATTAGAAGGTTGAAACAAACACTTGCAATGCCCTATTGGCAAAAGAAGTATTGTTTCTGATCATTGAATGTGATAGCATGGTACTTAATTTTTTTGATGCATCTTTTTTCTGTAACTAGATATTTTTCCCCTGTGATGGATGGGATAGATGGTAATTTAAAAGTTCTTGGATAAAGTTTTGGGTGATTGCACTTATTTTTTTTTAACATATAAACCCCACTGAAATGTATAAAAAGCTGGAGTAATAAGAAAAAGTTGCATAGACACCAACAATATGTGTGAAGAAAAATTGAAAAAATATAGTTTCATGGGCCCTGGTACCGTATAGATTTTATATTTTATAACAATATTGATTCTGCTCGTGACTTTGTATAGATTATATTTGTTTTAATGAAAGGTCGTATTCTAGATTTCTGTTTTTTCTTCGCTCAAATTTATATGTATCTTCATGCTTTTAGGCAAACAAGCATTATTGTCTGAGAAACAGAAATTACATCGGGCTTGATTTCATTTTTTTTTTCATAGCAAGATTTTCGTTCTTAATACCAATCATCTCTAAATTGTTATCAACTGCTTCTGCTAAATGCTGTTGACGTTCAAACTACAATTGCTTATTATTTGTTGGTCCGTACCCATTAACAACAGAAACTGTTTTGTAGCCTGAATGTTGGCTGCAGTCAACTGGCTTCCCAATCTTCTTTCCTGTCGCTTGCTGATTGCAATTGAAGTCTAACCTTTTATTGTGAGATGTTTTAAAACTTTGTTCTACATCAGAGGGAATGTTTGTGATGGAACAACATTTCTCGATATTTTAATTTTAATTATGGGAGGAAAATGTGGGTTGCAGGCTTCAAAAATCTTAGTTTTATGATTTTATGATTTATTTGGTTTGAGGGAAAGTCTAGATTCTATCCTCTACCTTCTCCATCTCTCTCATTTTATTTGTTTGAATGTTATTGCTGTTTCATTATGCATTCCATATTTGACAGTGTCTTTTTGTTTCATCTCTGTGGATAGTATGACTTTCATCAGGATATCGGCATTGAAGTTTGAAGCTGAATTATTGATCTTTTGATACATTTCGTCCCTAATGATAATCTTCATATCCATTCATTCTTGTTTATATTTTCAGCTTGATTTAATTACAACTTTTAAAAACATCATGGCTTGCAGGAGGTTGCTGTTAAAATTCTTATGGAACAAGATTTTCATGCTGAACGTGTCAAGGAATTTCTGAGGGAGGTAATCTACATTTCTTAATTTGTTTTCTGCTGAAGTAATACCAGCTGCATTGGTTGTCGATGTGAGCTGTGTTTTCACCTTGTTAGGTTGCGATAATGAAGAGGTTGAGGCATCCAAACATTGTCTTATTGATGGGGGCAGTCACTCAGCCTCCAAACTTATCAATTGTCACAGAATACTTGTCAAGGTTTCACAACACCTCTACCGGTCACTCTTGACCGGAAATGATGAAATTATTTTTATGGTTATGATCTTCAACCCCTGCCAGCCTAAAAGATTGAACTAAACGCAGGGGTAGCTTGTACAGACTGTTGCATAAACCTGGTGCCAAAGAGATGTTGGATGAAAGGCGCAGACTCAGTATGGCTTATGATGTGGTATGCATATAAGAAATAGACATTATTTTAGTTTTGGTTTTCCTTATCTTTGAGAGTAGCAATGTTGTTGTCGTGTTCCCTGGTTAAATTTGTTGTTTAATGTGCAGGCAAAGGGAATGAATTATCTTCATAAACGTAACCCACCCATTGTTCACAGAGATTTGAAGTCTCCAAATCTTCTTGTTGACAAGAAATATACCGTTAAGGTAAAAAAATGAAGATTGGTCAGGCATTCTTAGTCTTGGGAGTTTGATCTAAAGTTTTTGGCTGAATTTCACTTCATTCTTCTCCTCCCTTTTGATTGAAATGCTTTGTTCTTCTTTTGCTAGCTCTCTTAGATTCTCTCCTGAGATGTTATTGATACTAATCTATATGATCTCCGATTCTCATTCTTTATCTCTAAGCAGGCATGAAAATACAATGTGTTAACTGCCGTCGTTTGTTGTTCCTATAGATCATAAGATGATTTATGGTGGCTTCTATGGAAAGAGGAATCCAATTAAGCAAACAATATGTTTGATTGATTAGTCTTTCGAGAGAAAATAGTAAAGACCTCATGATTTTTGCTGAAGTTACACGGAACTCCTTCAAAAATAATACAGGCCTCATGTTATTTTGTTCTTTTCCTTAAGGTCTGTGATTTTGGGCTTTCCCGTCTAAAAGCAAACACATTTCTCTCATCAAAGTCTGCAGCTGGGACTGTAAGTCATTCTTGACTACATGCATTTCCGTGTATATTTAGGTCACGTTTGTTTACTAAAATAAAATGAAATGGAATGGATTGAAAAAATAAAAGGTAAAAATAAGATGCTCATAGGAGATAGGGGAGCACGTTCATAAAGGGAGGAGTAATTTAGTTTATGGGGTTGGGAATCATGATTCATGTGATTTTTGAAGGGTTTGATGATTCCCACTTTTTTAGTATATTAATGAGTTTTATCATGCTTAATATGGGGGAAAGATGATTTAGTTTATTTTTGCCTTGATTTTTTTCAATTCATTTCATTTTATTTTATTCTAGTAAGCAAACGTGACCTTAATTTCCAATGTTTTTCAGTATGATACATTTAATTTCTCTCCTTTGATCCCATAGCCTGAGTGGATGGCTCCAGAAGTTCTTCGTGATGAGCCATCAAATGAGAAGTCTGATGTTTATAGCTTTGGCGTAATCTTGTGGGAGCTTGTGACATTGCAACAACCCTGGAGCAATTTGAATCCAGCACAGGTCAGTTGTAACCCTGCCTAACACCTGAAATTACCTATGATCTGATGCTTGTAAGAAAATAGGGTTCAATGACCAATGGGGTGGGATTGGTGATGGGAATTCCAAAATGGCTGCAAACATGCATTTTGGTTGTTGTGTGTATTAAGGCCAACCAAGTACGGAAACTACACTATTTAAGATGCCTTTGTGGTGCACTTGATTATTGTTTTTAATGTGTCGTCTCATATGATGCTTGAACGTTTGCATATATGGATGCTTTGACTTGCATGCATATCATTTTCATTTTTAGGTCAAGCATTTTTAATGTGTTAGATGCAGAGGAATTTGTAGCGCTTCAGTCTTCATTTGGACATATTTTCTTGCAGGTTGTGGCAGCTGTTGGTTTCAAGGGCAAAAGGCCTGAGATCCCACGTGATTTGAATCCTCAAGTAGCTGCAATAATTGAGGCTTGCTGGTCCAAGTGAGTTAATTTACATCTTACTGATATTCTGCTTTAATATGCCATTATGGCATGTTTGGATTAATGGGAATTTAGATTTGGATTCAAATCCAAATCTAATTCCATCTCTTATTACATTTCCTTTATAATTTCAAATTTCCCCAATATCTATTCATTTGAAATTCAATTATTTCAAACGCCTTGTTTTCTTTGTATTTTTATTATTGATATCTCTGTGATTCTTGTATTTTTTTTTTATTCTCTCGTTGATTGAAAAATATAAGTGAACTCATCAATTTTGATTTTTCGTTTTGAATTTCAACTCGTCTCTCTTCTTCATTTGAAATTTTTTTAAATTATTTGAGCAAAGAATTTTGAATATAAGTTCTAAATGTGAGATTTGAAATGTAAGATTTTAAATCTAAAATTCAAATTCAAATCTATCAATCCAAATACTACCTTATAAATTTTATTGATACATATGATTTACTGCAGTGAGCCCTGGAAACGTCCTTCTTTTGAAAGTATCATGGATTCTTTGAGACCATTGATCAAACCCCCTACACCTCAACCTGGTCGCCCACCATTACTTTCCTGAATGGCTGGAATCTGGAGTTATTCATGCACATACTACGGAACTTTATTAGATTTGATGTCTAACAGGACTATGCTGTTTTACTTTTTAGGAATTCCAGGTGCGTACCAAAATTTGTATCTGGCTGAGACATAGTGCTTCGCTTCTTCTGGGTAGTGTTTGTTTGTTGGTATGGGGGACTGTATATCAATTTCTTTTAACGGAGGCAAGCAAGCAAGCAATGTTAAAATCTAGCTACATTTCAAATCGTTTTTTCTGAGTTTGGGTTTTTTGTCAAATTTTTTGCAGCATGTCCTGGTTCTTTTGACCGCACCGGACCATGCTTTTTCTGTAAATAAAGAAGGCGGGAAAGGAAGACAAACTAATGCTTGTTCTTGTTTACTTGTTTGCAGAGTCAATTGTATAGTTGTGTCCTAATTGGAACTAAGAAATCTGATATGCAACGGAAAGCGGTCCTCCACGTTTATTCCAACAGAACTATTGTTTGATCAGGTGATACTGTAATTGCATGAAGAAATGTTGTATAATTCTTTTATCCCCGATTTTGTATGTAAATTCTCCATTATAATTTGATTCAGTTAATGATAAGCAGCGTTGCTTGCATTTTTGAACATTTTGTTGGGCATTAATGGCTGTGATCATGGTTGAAGGCAGTCAATGAAATGAGTACACAATGACTGTCACCCCCTTGCTGCGGGAATTCAACTAACATCCAAAGAAATATTTTGTTAGCAGCAACTTTGTGACTTTTGGCCTAATCGCGGTTGAAAAGAAGTCACTTGCAAAAATCAACCCCTTGATTGAGGAAGCATCTAGAATGTTGGGTAGGGCTTCCATCCATATTCAGTCTTAATTACGGGCGGCAATGAATCAATTTCAAGGGTCTGTTGATTGAGTCATGACTTTCTAACAAATTCGATATTTTCCTTTCCATTTTCTTTTTAAAAATTGAATAAACTTGAATGATTAAATGGTTTAAATAATTTGTGTGACAATCGGGTTGAGTATAAATGAATAATAGGGGAATCAAGGCTCCTTGATCAAGTTGAGTATGAGTCATATGTGTGGACAAAAGATCATGTTTGAGTTTTATTTTAATTGAAGATGTGTTTGACCGCGAGATGATCTGCCGGCCAGGTGGAAAAGAAATATTGAATGTTACATATCATTAAACTCGGTGCATTTTGTAGTACTTAGTCCTTGCTGTCCAGGCATCTTTTAGAAATAGGTTTTTGGAGATTAAGATGGAGCTGATAATTTAGGCACGCTATGCTTATCGGGACTGGGCTTATAGTTCATACTCTCTTAAAAAAAATTTATATAATCAAGTTTAGTCCAAATATTTTTTTGGCTGGATTTGGGATGGCCTATCGAGTTTAGTCAATGTTATTAACTTTGTATATAGAGAAAGTTAGAAATTTTAATGATCAAGTTTATTCAGATTGAGTTTAAAGTATCTCATTTTTTTAAAAAAGTTCATATAGTTAAGTTTGGTTTTAACATTTTTTGAGTAAGTTTAGGCTTAGTTTGAATTATTGGTTCTAAATTAAATTTGTTTTTATAATATTATTTTATTTAAATTCATTAATTATGAGAGATAGATTAGTGCAAATGTGGTAAATATTGTTATCTTAATATTAGTTTGTTAGACTTTAGTTTTGCAAATGTATTTATGATGAATTAAAAAATAAACCCACATTAAAAAGTACTTCATTCCTTTGGCAATAGATAGAACAAGCGGAAAAGCGGCATGCTTCTATTCTCTTGCACGATTTGACGAAATGAAGGGAGAATATCAGTAAAGTCTTAAAAGAGGTCTCTAATAAATAAATAAAACGATTTATAAATATTAATTCTTACAGTATACAATAATTTCAATTACAATTTGAGAATTATATTTAAATTTTAATATTTTATTTATAATTGAAACTTACATTTATAATTATTTAAAATTTGAAACCATATTGACACCTTATTTTTCAAAAAAGTTTACTATAAACTTAACTGTTGTTAATTTTCTCTTTTACAGCTTTGGTGCCATCCTTTCTAGAATGAACGCACATAGGAGGCAAGCAGCTAGCAAAACGACTGCAACCCATTTGGTTTTAAAAAAATAAAGTTGTAAACAATGATCCCCCATCTTTAAAGTGTTGCAAACAGTGTTTTAAAAATCAAACCGGATCGGATGATTCAACTACTAATCAAAATGGCTTGGTCCAACTAATTGGGTCAATTTAGCAGTTGAATCAAATTGACTCGACCAATTTTGAGAGAATCAAATTTGACTCAGAAATTAAAACAGGTCAATCTAGTTAAAAGCCAAACAAATTAAAAAAGAAAAAAAATTTAGGATAAGTCGTTCAAATTCGTATTTTTTCTTTTCTAATCTATAGTTCTCTTATGTTTTCTCTTATCTCATCTCTGATCTCTCTACAGCTTAGGCTCAATGACCTTTCTTCTAGCCTCTGCATCAAACTCTAACAATCTAGCCTATGGTATCAAGATTAGAAGCTCATGAGTTGTGAAATGATGACATGCCTCCAGCTTCAATGTTTTGCTTCAAGATTGCAAACTTGTGCCGACATGTCTCTGTCTTCAACTCCAACGGTTCAGGTGTCTAGCCTATGATATCAAGTTTCCAAACACCATCAATAAATTAATATTTTATTTTTATATTTATGTATATAAATATTATTTTTATTTAATTTTTATATCATTAGTTTTACTGTCAATCTAATCGATTGAACTATAAAAATCATGATTTGTTATTTTTTTTAGTTTGACATTGGATTCAGGTTTCAAAACATTGGTTGCAAACCCCTTTTCCTTGATGTCATGGACCATAAAAGCCATTTCCATTTCCTTTCAGTTTCGGCGTCAAGTTTATTATCCTTACAATCAGTGCCTGCTACAAGTCTTTACGGTATAAATTTGTTGATCTTCAGTAATAATACCCACAAGACCAGGGACGAATCCAGGACGAAATACTTGGGTGGGGGGATTAGAGAATAAGAAAGTTATAGGGAGGCTAAAAATTTTTACATATTATTTTACGAACGTAAAATATAAAAAAATTATGTTCTTTTTGTGGAAATAAAAAAAAAAAAAAGAACATCATCATCCACATCATCAAATGTAACGAGGGAGGTAGGTTGATTCGCATTTTCTTTCTGTTTTCCCTCTGCCTTAGGGCATTGCCAACTGTCTTCAGAACATTGGCTAAACAGCAATGAGCATTCATTGTGCACATCTCTGTTTTCAAAAGACCAGACTACTTGTACTCTTTATCTTTCTTTATCAAACTTGATCCAAGTTTTCAAATAATAATTTTGACAGGACAGGAATCATAAAAGAAATTGATGTTTAGGAATAAAGAAAATGACCGTGAAATTATCAGGCGTATTCCACCGTGGCGATCCTCTGCGTTCCCATTGAGGAGCAGGGTTTAGATCATTCATGTATATTTGGATTGGTGATGGTGACCTGACAGGAATTTGAGTCTAACAGAAGATGTTAGTCCTTCACAGCCTTCTGAAGCAAGGCTAGTACATTAAGCTGGATTGCCTCCTTCATATGGGCAATAACAAAAAATCTAGTTAAAATCAATCAATTTTTTTAATTTTTAAATATTAAATTGAACAATAAGTAATGAGTTAGGGTGTTGTTAATTAGATAAGTTGTTTAATTACTATACCACTCCTGAATATAAGATGAAATTAATAAACTCTGCATTTATTAAAAAATATTAGTTATAATCTTAAAATTGTACAAATAATAATAATAATAACTTTCCAATTCTACGCTTTGTCTTATAAATAAGGAGTAAAATTTAAAAAAATATTTTAAATTTGTCTTATATTTAGAAAAAAAACTTTTAAATTTTATCTTAAATTAAGGAGTGGAGGGAGTGACTAGAAAATATCAAAGTAAATGATTATTTAGAAAAAAATTAATTAATGCTTTAGACAATTTAGAAGAGCGTCATAATAAAGACCAAATAGGAGAGTTTGATCGCAAGAAAGAAATGATCAAGCATGAAATTTGAGAAATTAACATTAAAATCATTGCTATTATTATAATTGAGCTACTGAATATCAATATCAACATCAATTCAATTCATTCAACATTTATATAAATCTTGTGGTTTCCATCTAATTGGTCAAAAAAATATTAATTCTCATTAATTAATAGATTTTATGTTAACATTAATATGAAAATTTCTCTCAATTCATTAATGAGATTTAATTTATTTTTTTATTTTTTATGTATTTTCAATCTACTTTCATGAAAATATTTAATGAGATTTAATTTATTTTTTTATTTTTTATGTATTTTTAGTCTACTTTCATGTGAGCACGCATTCAAAAGCAGTCTCATTTTTAAATTTCCTTGATTATTACTGTTAATTCCATCCGACAATCTTTCTCCATTCATTGTTTTTTTTAATGCCTTTTCAATTTTCTTGATCGATGAAATTTAATTTATTTTTTATTTTTTATATATTTTTAATTACTTTTATAGGAACATTTATTCAAGAGCAATCTCATGTTAAATTTTTTTTATTATTAACATTAACTTCATCTGACTATCATTTTGATTTGTTGCACTTTCTAAAAAAAAAAAGATGGATCTCTTTAAAATCTTTCTTGCATCCATATTCATGAAAATATAATTTATGTCATAATTTATAAATTAGTGTCTAATTTTTTTATGTAATCAAAAATGAAGATTTATCAAGAATTCTAAATTTTTTTTTCTAATATTCTTTAAGCTCTCTAATAGCAATATTTTTTAGACAGATTTTTTATTATATATTCAAAAAATAAAGATAAAATGTGTATAAATAAATTATTTTAAAAAATAATTAAATAAATAAAATCTAAAAAATTTAACCATTTCAAATGTGTTGATATTTATCTTAAATTTTTTAATTTTAACTCATGCAAAATACGAAAAATTATCTAAGTTAATTTCCATTGGCCGAGCGAGCAAGCAAGGATGTGAAATCTTATGACGTTGACAGTGGGCCATAATCTGGCAAAAACAAAAAAAACAAAGACAGTGGGCCATGAGAAATCCTTGAGCCCCATAAACAAAAGGAAAAATTTCATTTAAATTCACAAAAAAAAAAACTTCTAAATTTTAAAGTAAGCTATAAATGCTTATTATTTAATTTAAATTATAAGTATAAAATTTAAAATTTAAAATTTAAAATTTAAAAATATTTTTTAAATTTTACAAGATGTTTCAATATTAAATTTTCTTTTGTGGGCATTTTGCTGTAACTTTTTTAAAATAAAAATCCAAAACAAAGTTTTAGTGCTTCGTGATTGGTTAGCAGACTTAGCTTCGCCTCCAAGGAATGAAACCCAGCTCTCATAATATCTGACCAAGCCAGGACACGAGACCTAAATATCTGCCACATATGTGGGCCCCGCTGTCCCGCTCATAACAGCCACTAGCACCACGGTTACTGCAACTGTGTCAAAACCTTCATCCTCAACCAAGAAAACCTAGAAAAAATCAGGGGGAAAAAAAAACAACCTCAAAACTAAGGAACCAAGAAAACGAACGTAACTGCCAGGAAACCATCTCAAAGGTCGGCGCTTTCTCTGTGTATCAGATGGAGCCCAGGCCAACCCCACCCTGGAACCCAATCTCCAATGGACTCTTGCTCTACTTCTACAGCAGCTACAAGAAGAAGAAGGGTCGACGAAGACCCTCCACCGCCTTTCTACCTCCTTTTTTGAGATTTTTCTCGAAAACCTTGTCGGCAACACCCGCTATTATTACTGTTGCCTTCCCAAACTTATAAAAACCTGGGCTAATCCTTTACGTTGCAGACTAGGCATACCATTCTTTTATCTTTTTTGCGCGTTGTGAATCAGTCCACTGTTTGGTCCCCTATCAACATGAATCCAATAGACGAAGGTCTATCAAATTCTCCAACGAGATCAAAGGGTAAAGCTCCGGCTGACACGTCTTCTTCGGGTCATTTGGAGCAGGAAATATACGGGTTCTCTCCTATGGAATTGAGTTCTGGAGCATTCGGAAATGCCTTAGCTAGTCTCTCAATGGCGGACATTGGCCTTTCTGGCCATTCTTCTTCGTCTTTGTTTGATTCTCCTTTCATGGAGTTGAGAGCATTCTCAACCATGAGCCCAACTTCTCTGGCTTCTCCTCCTCTTCCTCCTGTTAGTGATGAGAGAGCTCCTTCGGTTCCAACAACTGTCAAGGAGGAGACCGGATTAATAGAAACAAGCGGTGAGTTGGAGGACGCTGATGTGCCACAGCCGCTTGAGTGTTTACAGGAGAATCCGATTCCGCCATTTCTTTGGAAAACCTACGATCTGGTGGATGATCCATCGCTGGATCCGATCATATCATGGGGCTCGACTGGTGCTAGTTTCGTGGTATGGGACCCTGTGGAATTTGCAAGGATCGTCTTGCCACGGAATTTCAAGCATAACAATTTCTCAAGTTTTATCCGCCAGCTAAATACTTATGTGGGTATTGCTTTAACACAGCCCGGAAAGGCTGCTGTGTTCTGTATGTAAATAATGTTTGCCTTTTAATTTTGCCCCTTTAATTTGTGTTGTATTTTCTCCCTTTCCTTGTATTTGTTGTACTAGTTCTTCCCTATGTTTGGTGTTTATTTTGTAACCAGGATTGGTAATTGAAGATCGACCATGTATATATGAAGAGTACACTGTATCAACTGGAATGTATCTTGTGTATCTTTGCACTCCTTTGTTGCTTGGATTTTCTCTGATGGATGTGTTCTTGATATATATGTGTTTCTGCAGCTAGAGTGGGACAAAGCTGCTCCTCTCTTTCTTGTTTGGCCTGTCGTTTGTTCAAAGCCAACTTATAAATATCCGCCTTCTCTTTGTAGTAGTTATGAGGTCTACATTCCCAAGAGTAACTTTGTTGGTGAAATCTTTGTAACTAATGGGACTGAATAATTATAGCTTGGTTCAGATGTTTTGTCAATTCCATTGTAGCTAGGATTGAGAGATTGGCGATTGAAGGAATATTTGGCCTGCTGAGTTTCTTCTGTTGGAAGGATGTTATCTTCAACAAGTTGTATCCCAGGTTTCTGTGGGGAATTTGAAATTCTACTACAATTTGATTGTTGTTAAATGCCACCATCTTAATAAATTCCTTCTGTCTGTGTAAAGCTTGTTATTGCTTCCAGATTGCATACTAAAACACAGCACCATCTTCTCTTGATGGCATATCTTTTGGTGACTAAACGGTTTTATATCTTAAACTTTGGTTAATATTTGTTTCATTTTCCTCTCGTTTCCATGCCTTGGGGTCACTTCTGCTTCTACCCTATTCATTTTTCAAGTCTCTTTGGCATTTTTATCCAGGGGTTCCGCAAGATTGACCCTGATAAATGGGAGTTTGCGAATGAAGGTTTCAAGCAAGGGAATAGACATCTATTGAAGAACATACAAAGGCGCAGGTCGCTGCAATCCCCACATGCTGGTAATCTTGGCCCATCTACTGAACCAGGAAAGTCTAGAGTTGAGGTCGAGATTGAAAAACTGAGAAAGGAGAGGAGTATATTAGTCCAAGATTTGGTTGATTTGCAGCAACAACAGAGAAGGACTGTTCAAGAGGCGGGACAAGTGAACCAGAAGCTTGAGTCTGCTGAACAGAGACAGAAACAAATGGTTTCTTTCTTGGCGAAGTTGTTTCAAAATCCAGCATTTGTAACCCGCCTGAGAAAACAGAAGGAACTGACAGGTATAGATTCTCCAAGAGTGAGAAGGAAGTTTGTCAAGCAGCACCAACACAAAACATCAGGCTCTTTGAATGAAGGGCAGATTGTAAACTGCCAACCTGATTGGAGAGACATTACCAATCTTTCTGAAACTCCGGTGCTGAATCCAATTTCTTTTGAACAGTCTCCTGACTACCCTTCACAGGGTTGGGCAAGAGAACTTAGTTCAGTAGCAGAAAATCCGGAAGTTCAAGCTAATGGTGTTGTATCATATGAACTGGCTGCAGCGAATGAGATGACAACTCCAAAGATCATGGGAGAAGGATCGTCAAGCTCAGGGCTTCAAGGTCCTCTTTTGAAAGGAGAAAACGTCATGAGACCTAATCAGGAAGTTATCCTAGAGGATCTGACGAGGGAGAAGGGCTTTTCAATGTTTTACCCGCCTGAAACTGAGAGTGTTACATGGAACCCGAGCTTTAATGTTAGCGGTGCTACTTCTAGCTCTGTGAATGTTCTGTGGGACGATCCAATTCCAATCAATTTGAAGTGCCAGAATTTGGAGTCACAGGTGGCATGTCAGACCTTTGGGATATAAACTATGTGCAAGAAACGGGAAATTCAGGTTTCTATGACGATAAGTGGCCAGCTGATGAATTCCCTCCAAAAGAAACAGAAGGTCAGGCTGATCGGCCGAAAGATGATAGATCTAAGAATATTGATCCATAGGGCTTTGCTTCTGCGCTTGTTGCCCTTGGATCCTTAATATGCTTTAGTTCCTAGGATTTTTATTAGTGAACTATTCGATTGTCAAAGGGAATTCGACACCCCCTTTCTAATTCTTAATTTCCATATTTATTTATTCATTTATTTTTATTAATGGTATAAATTATTTTATCCCCTGATGGATGCGAACAAGTGCAAGTTTGTGACTCAATGTATTGGAAAACCTCTTCCTTTGAGTTTTGACCGGCATGTTTTTTGCACTGCCTTTTTTGATACCAAATGGAAAAGCGAAATCCTGAAATGATATGCTATTCAAATGAGACCTGGTAAATTTCTTGTTATTTTCTCCCTCGCCGGCTGCATGCCTGTTTATTCAATTTATGGGATTGGCTGTTATTCTCTAACATGACATAATTTATTTTGTTTTGCATAACCGTGGTTTTGTAACCCAAAAATATTGGGAGTTCTTTTTTTTTTTTTAAGTAAGTTTCTTTTTTCTTTTTAAACCCCGTGGAAATCTGCTCAAGAAAGAGTTTTGTACACGTGTGAGTAGTGAGAATCATAAAATATCTAATATTATAATTTGGGGTTTTTTAAGTTCGTGTTTAGATTATTTAACAACACTGATGCATTTTATCTTATATTATGGGGCATGATAGATTATCCAAATTGATCTGATACATGTGATTGGATTGGCTTTTAGAAGCAATAATTCATTGTAGTAGTTGAATTCTCAACATAAATAAAATGAGAGGAAAAAAAGCTAGGGGGAGTATTAAGAAAGACTTTTAAAAATTGTGAAGTATGCTATTTTTGAATGTAAGTGTACAAGAGGAACACCTTCGATTAATTTAACCTGAGTTTACGATGATTTTTGGGAGCCAAAACTTGAGTACTTAGAACAGAAACATATACGCGTTGTGCCCAAGAAGAAACTTGAGAAAGAATGAGAGAACTATATCGAGCAACTTGAAACATGGACGCCGTACACCAAGAAATATCTCGTAGCCCAAGCTCATTCTCCACTTCAGAGATACAATTGGAGGTATAAAAACAGCGTAATTGAAACGAAAAAGTTTCAAGTGCAAATAGAGAATCTGCGCCACTAATTTTATGACTCCGTGGACGTGATTCACTGATTCAAATCACAGAGCCATTTTGCAGCGATCAAAATTGAACAAGGATGTTAAAATCGCTCCAGAGACACGCGCACAAGAATGCTCAACAAATTCATGTTACCTCAGTTTGCTTATATTGTTCAGAAACTGATCTATGGGTTTATCTAATGGTAGACTACAGCAGAACTGGTGGGAGAGTAGAGGATAACCATAATGCCCTGAAAAAAGAAAATGCAACCAACAGCACCTCCATTAGAGTAGGTTAAGATTTAAAAATCTTCCTTCTTCCTTTTCGATGCATGTTCTTGTTGGCTTCTCTGCGTTCCCTCTTCACTCCTTTTGCTTTATTCAGCAAAGCTATTTCTCCAGTCTAATCAAAGTAAATTGTGAGGAATGATCCTTTTATTCAAGGAGTAGACCAGGAAAATGTATAATGGTAGGAAGGCACGCAGTTCTATGCCGCCACGAAATACTGTTTGTCAATTGTGTTTTCGCCCAAAAAAAAAAAATAATAATATACGCAAATATGAGGTTTTTATTGTTTTGGGGCAACATGCAAGATATGCAGTAGAATAATTATCTAGTATTGCAATCATTTCCTATATTTGATTTTTTTTTTGTTTTGGTGACATGACGTGGAGTATGCAGGAGTCCATTTGAATAATTATCTAGTACGGCACACGTTTCCGCTATTTGATTTTTTTTTCCCCATCCAAATTGTTCATCCAACATAATGAGGATTAGAATTTGAAAGATAAGGAGGAGTTGGTATGGACGTGATCCCTGCCGCAAACACACACGATCACAATAATAAATTATTTGAGAAGTTGTGTTTTTATTAATTTAAATAATTAATAATTTAAAAAATAAATAAAATGAATTATTTGACAAGGCTATATGAAAATAAAAATAAGCAAGAAATAATGATGAAGAAATCACAATTAAAGCATTGAGATTTAAGATTCACCTATAGATTACTAGTTTTCACCTTTTGAATTAACTCTGTAATGAATTATAATAATTATTATTTTTAAAGTGTCCTAATATTTTTTTGAATTATTAATTAGTTTTTTTAACTAGTGTTGAATTTATTTTCACAATATCCAAATAACTAATTAGATCATAAAGTTTTAGTTTAAGTCATCACAGATTTTTAGAAATATTTCTAGCCTAATTAATTATGTCTATTTCTCTGTATTTAGGTTTTTCTTCACCTCCCAATCTGTTAAGATTATCCATAAATTTAATTAAATAGTGCTCAATCATAAAATCAATATGAAGAACAAGATAAATAAATATAACTGAAAAATGGCAAAATATATTCATAAATATAAATGTAAAGAGTCAAAAAATAAAAACTACCTTCTTAGTTGGGCTACATCTTTACCTCAACTAGGTAAGTTAGAAACATATAATAAAATTAATTCCCTAATTGAGCCACATCCCTACTCTAATTGAGTGAATTAAAAAACATAATAAAATTAGAAACACCATCTAAAATTCCCAATCACAAAGAAAGCTAAGGAGTGAGAAAGAAATAATTATGATATGCAGAATTTTTCAAAGATTTCACTCTCAATTTTCAAAATGCTCCCACAAATTTCAAATATCTTAAAAAAATTCTTAAAATACTTAAATAAATAATTGAATACTTTCTTTCTTAAAGAAGAAGAGTATTTATTATGAGTAAAGTAGATGTTTCTTCTTTTTTTAAAAAATAAAAAAAGGACAATTAATTCATTACTTAAAAAGTTGGCACATATATTTAAAAGGCGTTCCAAGTGATTGGGCCACAAAAGCAAACAAACTAAAACATAACTAGACAACACAAAAAACTTAAGTGATACAAAGCCAACAACTGCAATTCCATGACAGAAAGCTGACGAAGAAAGCCCTGCAATCCAGACGCCACCAGTGGAGGAAGGGGAAGACTAAAAAATTGAAATTGAAGACCTTCAAGCATCAGATGAAGACATCTTCCGAACCAATTAGGAACCATCTTCGAGTAAGTAGGTATTTAATCATGATTAAGATAAATATCCCCCAAAACTAAAAGTACTAAATGTAGGCTAGCTAGCAGATATCCATCAGCTCATCTTGCTTGTCATTTTATCTATACATGTTACAAGTACATATATTTATAGGGTATTTTAATAATATTTGAACATTGAAACATGAGGTGAATATTCTTACAAATATAAAACCCTTACTACTTGTGTTTTTCTTATAAAATTATATATAACTGGAGTAGTTTATATTTTAATTAAATTTGAAATATAACATACAGGAACCCTACATTTTCATGGGCATTTATTAATTATAGATGTTTTGTTGTTACTATCCGAACATAAGTTATTCATACATAAAAAAAAGTTATTAATTTTAAAAATATAACTTATTTGATATCTTTTATAAATAGCTCCCTCAATATATTTATTATAAATTTATTTTATGAAACCCTGTAAAAACCCTTGGGTTTTAAATTGATTCAATCACTCCTGTAGATGTGAGACTTTATTTTATATATATATATATATATATATAAAAGCACTGCACTGTTTTTCTTTAATATCTCTCTCTATTTGATTTTCAAGTGTATCACTGCACCTAATCTGCACAAGAGCTGCTTCCTTGGTGTATTGTTATATATGATGCTGCTCCTTCAATCAATATATATACACAACCTTTTCTTTTTTTATATTGCATTTCCTTCCTCGGTTTAATCCATTATTTTCTTGCAAAATATAAAAAATAAAGATATGAATAAATTCTATATCAAAAATTCTTTTTATCTTATAATTAAGTGATAGGAAAAAATATAAATATTAATTAAATAGATATGAAATATTAATAAATCTAATTAAATATAAACAAAAATCTATACCCATTTAGCTATAAAATATGCACTTATCGAGAGGCTATTAGAAGTTTTGAATAGTTAAATTCCATGGACAAGGTTGTTTAAGGAGTAAGGGCTTAGGAGCTGAAGCAGTGTTTTCATTTTCTCTCGAAGGGTTTTGGATCTCCCCATGGTGGAATTGTTGTCATGCTCTTGATAGCATAGTAGCCGATGGATAAAGGTGAGATGGTGTTTGTAGAGTGTCTAAATAGAAGTAGGTGGCAAATTCTCGAAGCATTATGGGTGGAAGAAAAGCAAAGGAGGGCCATGGGAGTAGAAGATGCCAATACTTTGAAGATCCTAATTCAAATTATTGACAATCTTCTATTGGCTTTAAAGCTAGGGATGGCTATGGAATAAAAACTCTAGAACCATAACTGTGCTGGCATTGATTTTAGTACAAATTCAATGTTGTATGTGTGTCAAAAGTGTGTGTGTGTCAAAGTCCCACATTGATTAAAAGAAAGACTCTCCTAGTGTATATATACTAAGGAATGAAGTGGGCTAGTAAAATGGGCTTGGAAGAGAAGTGGCCTCGCGCACATGAGACAGGCCAACTCAGGGCAATCGCAGTTGAAATCAGCCGATTCGCCCCCCTTGCGCGTGAGTTCAAGAGGTAGTGGTTCCTTTTACCGGATTATTTTTACAAATAAATAATTATTTTGGCTTGCCGGAGAAACTCAAATTTTGGCTGTCTGGAGTTTGAAGTCAAACCAAGAACGTTTTTTTCATTAAACAAATTAATTTTTTCTAAACGTTTGTCTTCCCAACGTTCCCAACGTTTTCAGACAGGAGGTTGAATGCGTTTTGTGTAACTCCAACGTTTCCAGACAAGCTTTTAAATAATTTTTATGAGACTGTAACCGAGCTTTTAAACCGGTGGTAACCCCCAACGTTCATGTCCACCTTCGGGCTATATATAGCCATGGGTTTCAGACAGAGCGAAACACAAAAAAGCCTCTTGAGTCCTCGCGGTTCTCTCTTCCTCCCTCTGTGAATCTGTCTGTGTACGTCTGTGATTACGTTTGGTCTCCGTTGTTCTGTTCTCTCGTTCCACCGAGGAGGTGCTTGTTTAATCCTGAGGAACTGCCGGCCGTCAGACGGTGTGCCGGAATAGTTCTTAAGGACAGTGTCCTT